CAAACCGTCAAGGTTCAAGTATTGACTTCAACAAGGCATTAACATACTGTCTTACACCGGTGCCTTTGAGTTTGGCTAATGCTGATGGGACGAGAAGAACTACAGTAAAGAGCAAGCTCTTGAAAGTAGTAGAGGAATACACTCCAATTGTCGATTACTCCGGATTACCAGCATCAGCTTCAGAGGTTTCTGCATACATAGTCGATCTGATGGCCACTATTCGATTACTCACGAGCATACCTGACACATTTGAGGAGCTGGGGTTAAGGCTGTTGAATCAATTGCCTAAGAAGTACAGTCGCGTAGATGTGATTGTTGATGCATACGAAACAAGCTCTATTAAAAGTGCTGAACGGAACGACCGTGGGACAAATGCTCCTTTTTTCATAAATTTGGTAAACACTAAAATACCAAGGAATTTTTCAAGCTTCTTGATGAATGGGTCAAACAAAGATCGTATGACTGATCTCATATTGGATGTATGGAAGGAACATAAAGATATTATTCCTAAAGGGAATTGCATTTATTTTTCAAAGAAAAATGAATGTTTTAAGTTGTCCAACGAGAATGTATGCCGTGTGGATGAGCTGGAATCTGATCAGGAAGAAGCAGACACGAGAATTGCGTTGCACATTAAGCATGCAATTGCAATCAACCCAGGAACAATTATCGTACGATCCCCTTCAGGTGATACTGATATAATTGTTATTCTATTGGCACTCTTTGCTGAATGTGACCAGAAGATTATGGTTGACAATGGACATGGAAACAGCAGGAAAATCTATGATCTTAAAGAAAGCGACATGTCCAAAGAAATTAAAGAAGCTCTCCTCGGTCTACATTCTTTTACAGGTAATGACTATGTGTCGGCATTTTTCAGGAAAGGAAAAATGACGTGTTGGAAAGTGCTGAAAAACTTTCCAAGATTTAATAACACATTCGTAGAACTTGGCAAAAGTTGGATTGTAACCGATGAACTTTACAACAACTTAGAAGAGTTTGTGTGCAAAATGTATGGACTTAAGAAAATAAAAGACGTACACGCCGCAAGGTAACATCTGTTTTGGGAAAAATATAACAAAAGTGGTAAATTTGTAGACCTTTCATTCTTACCACCCTGTAAAGAATGCCTGTATCTACACATTCAGAGAGCCAATTATGTCTGCCGTTTATGGAGGCAATCGTGTGTCCCCATAAGTGATGCTCCAAATCCACAGAATCATGGGTGGACCACTGGCAGCGAAATTCTTTGGACAAATGTTGTGATGTCAGATGATCTGATCGAATTACTTACTGAAACAAGTGAAGGAAGTGAAGGTTACAGTGACAGTGAAAGTGAAAGTGACGACGAATCATTAGAAGTAGACATAGGGGATGAAATGTCGGAGAGTGAGGATGAATTTTAAGGTATTTAACATTAAAGTTTAAACATCTATGACCAAAATGACATTGTAAAGCATTATTTTGGTATAGGTAGGAATTTGTAAACGCTTCTTATACTTTCATATATTGAAATCAAACAAAATATGTCAGAAATGTTTCTTTTGTACATTTATCAGACAGACCTGTAATACCCTTTCCCAGATTATATTTTATTTGAACTTTGACCCCAATAAGTTTTGAACGAACCCCATACCTGTCCAACTGTTATTTTTTCTCCAATCTATGACCTAAATTACATTGAAAACATTATCTTTGTAAACTAATGCACTTTTAGGACCCCTTCCTTAAATATGCCGGATTTGACCTTTGACCTCTCTTATCTCAAAAAATACCCCTCCCTGCACCAATCAACAATCAGATTCGGATTCTACGTCCAAAAATATGTCAGAAAAGTTTATTTTTCCACATTTATCACACAGGCAACACCCTTTCCCAGATTATGTCTTATTTGATCTTTGACCTCAATAACTTTTGAACGACCCCATACCTGTTAAATTTACTGTCATTTTTGGAATCTATGACCTAAATTACATTAGAAAAAATTATTTTGGTACACTAATTCACTTTTGTGATCCCCTTCCTTAAATATGCCAGATTTGACCTTTGACCCCACATATCTCGAAAAAGCCCCCTCCCCGTCCCGATCAACAATCAGATTTGCATTCTACGCCCAAAATTACCCCAGAAAAAGTTGGTCTAGTAAATTCTGCAAAAAGTGACACCTACACCTCATATACGACCGGTCTACTAGGCCTGTGCTTTGCGGCACTAAGCCTAAAATTAGGCCTAGAAGTATTAGATTTATTCGAGAAGATGTAATGGTGAGTCACTTTGGCTTTTTTTTTTTTTGTTTCTTTTACTATTAAATTATTGAGTGGAGTATCCATACTGCTTACGTCATACACAACAACCTCATAATTTGTCATCAAAAACTGTATAAGCCTCGACAGCTCCAATCCAACTACCAACCGTAAAAAATCTTGAATTAAAAACCTTGTTTCTTTAGTAAAAAGTAAGTTCATAATAAACAAACATCTATTTTGTAAGTGCCTCTTTATTTAGAAACTGATAATAAATGCTGTATAAAAATTTTTTGAGTTTTCAACGATGTGAACGGTTTCAATGACAATGCCAATGCGTTGTCAACGAAAACACAACAGGTTGAATGCATTTAAAATTTGCAATAATACTGGCCAATCCTGTAACTGAAATTTGATTGGCTGACGGAGTGTAGCTTTACCAAATTCTTATCCAATGGTGATGACAAAGACGGTATACGCCTGTCTCTTATACACATCTAGATGTGTATAAGAGACAGGGTTTACATCTTGAATTCTTAATAATTATCATTAATTTACATTTACAGTATTTATATTATATAACTGAGATAATAATTTGAATGTCTTGAATTCTTAATAATTATCATTAATTTATATTTACAGAATTTATATTATATAACTAAGATAATAATTTGAATGTAAATGTATCCATCACTAAGATCTTACCATTTTATCATTTTATGTTATTTAATCGCAGCAAAACCAGTATTATACAGTATTTCAATCAGTCATTTATATTCTTATTTTTTTATTCTTCCCTTTAATAAAATTATTATTATTATTAAAGGGAAGTATTTAATTGAAAGTGATTTTTAAT